TTTTCTTCTCAGTTTAACCCAATCTACTATAATCTTTGGGGTCGTCCATATCGAATCTGACACCCTGTATAACATCCGTCTCATTGGCCACACCAAGATAATGGCGGATGCGCAGAAAGTATCGGCGCAAAACAAAACAAATGACAGAGTGGACATACCAGTTATACTATGGTTAAACCAAGATTAAATAATTAATTAATCTTGGTTTTTACATCAATCCCGTCGCAATTGATCACGTTAGTCGATGCTCGGAATTTTTTTTACTGAACCGACCAGAGGATCTATCGAGTCGACCAATGGACGATCGGGCGCCATTTCTCCAGACTTTTGCGAGTCCGCCAGAAGGAGCCGTGAAGGCTACGGAGAGCTCGGGGCGAACGGTTGCCTAGGTACCGCGAGCGAGCGAGTGTGTTGGCATAAACAAAGCTGACAAGCCAAGCGGCCGTGGGGGCTGCGCGTCTCGTCGATCGTCGCCTGATAAACCGATTTCTCGCAAAATGACGTCGCTCGATTTGCGCCAGCAGAAGTTGGAACAACAGGTACGACCTGAGCGTAGCGGATTCAGCCGAGACTTTTACATGTCACGCGTGAACTCCGTCCTCGGAATACGTAACCTTGTCCCTCTCTCGTACGCGATGTGGCGACTTAACTTGAGAAGGATCACTCGCAATCCTGATGAGATTTGACCAGAAATCCAGGAGAGATTGGCTTCCGATGGTGTATCGTTAAATATACGAGCAACTAGAAACGTCCAAGCTATTAATACCGTTGGATGAATAATTAATGAACTCTAATATGTATCGGCCAATAATAGGCAGATTTAGTCGTTTGAATTCTTTCCGGTTTATGGGGCAAGGACGCGTATTGATAGGCCCGTATGCTAAACCCTCTTTTATCAATAAAAGCGCTTCTAAAAGTGGCTAATAGGCCTTCTGACTAATTGGCCACAAGCTACTTTTAGAGGCGCTTTTATCGATAAAAGGAGGACACAGAATACATGCCATAGAGATTACGTCGTAGTTACTTTATTTATCATTTAAACATTTTATTTCATTTATATCGAACATAAGCGAGAAGTATTTCATGAAGCTTGAAGCTTCATTGAAATTCAACCCTATATTGCAAAGAATGAATTGAATGTAGTTTATGAACATCAGATGATTTGAATGTAGTTTATGAACATAATCGTGAATTATTGTCTTCATACATTCAGACAATTGTCTTTGAAATTGAAATGTTCAGCTCTTCATTTATTAGTTTTGAATTAGCAAGCGGCACCTCCAAAGTATCGCTTGCTAATTTATCACGAATTATTTACTATTAAAATTTATGATGATAATTTCTTTGTGTTGTATTTATTTCAATGTAGAGGCAACTGATCGCGCAGAAGATGAAGCAGAAGAGGCAGACTGGTGCTAGTGGGATGGTACAAGCGTCTAATGTGTCTAGCGCGCAGCTGACGAGTCACTCGAACAAATGGATGAATCCAAACAAGGAGCTTCACGGTAGCGTGCAAATAAAATGATTCTATAATTGCCAATAAACAATTGTTGCATATGATTATAGCCTTACAGATTAAGCACAACTATTGTGACATATGTATAAGGTTTATAGATACGTAATATATAATTTTTAATATTTATTCAGTGAGAGTACCCAATAAAGTTGAAAATAAATGTTTCAATACATTTGCAGCGTACGACGGTCCATTACAATATGCTATGTTTCAAACAAGTACAGACGTGGGACCTTATGCAGAAAGAAAAAATAGCGAGGGGACACTCAGTGGTAATTTATTGTTAGATTGTTTAAGAGTAAAATACATATTCACGTATGTAAAGGCCCTTATTATGAGATAGCGGGTTTCTGCTAAATTAATAGACATTATTTGTATGTACATTATTGTATCCACTATGAATTTATTGCTCTTGATGTAAAATTTGTTCAGTGCAAAATTCATTGTTAGATCATATAGTCGTTTCGAAAAACTATTTATGATTGAATTTGGATGTTGAAAACTGCTGTCTCATATTAGACGCCTACCTCACAGTAGGGCATTTTCCTCTATGTGTTTAGGTAGGCTGGAAAAACAGTAATACTTTGTGCCACTTGATCACTAATACAAAAATGAGATGTTATTTTCTTGGTGTTTTAATTGTGTATAATTTTATTTGTTCAAAATTAATTATGCTAATGTTCAAGTATTGATATTTGTAACAGTGGTCAACGACAGAGGCTTGTACGAAGGTTCCCAGAGCACTGATTGCGCCGATGAAGAATCATCGCCCATAGACTTGCATTCGCCCGCGGAATCTCTGCCATGTTCCTCACCACTTCGAGTAGCACCGTCGGAGGGACCTAATACTCTTATTAGTAGGGAGAACAACTCTTCCGTATGTATTATCCAACATATAAATGTTTTATTCTCAATATACGAATGCTAAGAAATAATTGTTTAATGCCGTGGCGTTGTTTTGCAGAGCCCAGAATTAGAGGGGAACGTAGAGGGTAATATAGAACAATTCGTGTTACAACCAGCAAATAAGAAAATGCATTACAAGTGTCGAATAACGCGCGACCGGAAGGGAATGGACCGTGGTCTTTATCCGACTTATTTCTTGCACCTAGAACGCGACTACGGAAAAAAGGTACACATTTGCATACGCGAATTTTGACAATACGTCTTCTATGTACCGATCGTACTTGCAGATTTTCCTACTGGCTGGCCGAAAGAGGAAAAAGAGCACAACGAGCAACTACTTGATTTCAACTGATCCCACAGATCTCTCAAGAGGAGGAGAATCTTACGTCGGTAAACTCCGGTCGAATCTTCTGGGGACGCAATTCACAATTTACGACAACGGATACTCGTTGATGAAAGACGACAAACGTGACGAGCGTTTCAATCCACGGCAGGAATTGGCCGCGGTGGTATACGACACGAATGTTTTAGGTTTCAAGGGCCCGCGTAAAATGACCGTCATTATACCGGGCATGACGCCCGATCAAAAGCGAGTGGAGATATGTCCGCGGGTTGAGTCAGAAACCTTGCTTGGTAATTGTAATTTTAATATTAGTATATAAGGCGATAAGGCCAAAAAATGAAATATATTTTAAAACTGCTTACCAAAAATGTCCTACGAAATGAAATAGTATATGAATCCAGATAATATACATATCAAAAATTGTATCTTCTTTTATACTTTCAGAACGATATAAATTAAAACAGATGGATAATCTGATAGAATTGCATAACAAAACTCCCGTGTGGAATGACGATACACAGTCCTACGTGCTTAACTTTCATGGTCGAGTAACTCAGGCATCTGTAAAAAATTTTCAAGTCGTTCACGACAGCGACGGTAAGGCGAAACTGCATATTTTTTTAATTCTACCCACATAATACACGCGATATTTCTGACATTTTTATATTCATTTTATAAAAGATGTATTATTGGCTTTTACTTTTAGTGGACTACGTCGTGATGCAGTTTGGACGAGTCGCCGAGGATGTTTTTACGATGGATTACAGATTTCCCCTTTGTACAGTTCAGGCATTCGCCATCGCACTGAGTAGTTTTGACAGTAAATTAGCGTGCGAATAACAATGCAGTCGAACGCCATCGATCGAAATGTCAGTTAAGTACATACTTACCCACGAGTTGCTGTATCGTTCTAAATCGTTAGCTTTCTAATGGACAATCAGTAGATTACCAGGTACCAGTTTTAATATGGCGCCCGGCGTATTGAACCGTTTTATAAGATAAAACGTGAAACGAGAATCGCTCTAATTGTGTGTTCACTTTTCATATTTCGTAACGAGTCTATTTCTATACTAAATGTGTATAATGCGGAACGACGATTTAAATATTACTCATGATATATCGATATAAAAGTTGAGCCTGCATAAAAATCTTGATATCGTTACACTTGATATCGTTACACTTGAAATACGGCACGTTGTATCTTGACTATTTTTATTATTTGACGTTAATTGCCGATGTAGAACAATTACTGCTGTTCACAAAAAGTGACGACGTGAATTTCTCGGCCAATAATTCAGAATATACTAATGCAGAATATTGTATGTTAAACGTTGGACATATTTTTATGAATCTCACTACGCAGAACGTTTATAAATAATAAGACATAAGTATCTGATTTTACAGTGCCTTGGCATAATATTCGCTGTGCTTCTAAAAAACAATATTTACAGTTCTCTGTTTTATTTTCGTTGAGAAGAAAATGATATCGTAATTAAAGAGATCACCAAGAAATTTAAAATGTATGTTTAAATATTTAATAATTCATGTGCACATTATCTATCAAAAACGAACATCAAAAAGGCTCGTTTTGCACATATTTCATATATATTTCATAAAAGATTATATTTGTTAATTTACATAATGTTTATATAATAATCTGTATTAACAGAGCCTGATCGTAATAAAATTACGATCGGAATCGTGTATAAGTGGCTACACAAACCATACAACCCTTCATTTTATCACTGTGTGGAGATGTGCAATTTTCACTATACACTAAAAAATTTTAAATACTAGATATAAATACATATATAGAAGCACGTAGCGCGCACACCATTAATCAGAAATATATCGCGCACATCTTCAATCAAATTTATCCTGATAAATTTATTCGGGATACAACAAGAGACTTATTTTATATCAATATAGAAAAATATCGAAGTTATTGAATATTACATTAATTATTTATATATTATTCTAAACATTTTGGGTCACTTTGCACAAGAGTTACTTTTAGACTAAATTACAAACGTAACATCTTAAAAGATATAATTTGAGACGCGAAATTAATTAAATATGTATTCACATATTATATATATATTGTGTGTATTATTTAAGTTATACAGAGATATATAAGAAAAACAACCAAAGTATTTTACTGAAATTTTCACGCAGCTTTTAACGAAACGAATGAATTATTTAAACGTTTGCCAGGCATCAGATGATTAGGTAACATCTAATAGTTGTTTAATCATCTGAATACCGTTTATAGTGGTAGCTCTTAACGTAGCAATGATTGACGATTAATTGAAAAATATTTATTGCAATACTTAAAAAATAGGTACCTGTATTATATAGCGATCGCTATAATATTGTATATTCATAATTATTCTGTCCTTTCATTTACATGATGGAATATTTTCACATTCCACGTACAATTATTTCAAGTATATAGATATAAGTTTTCGTCCTATATTCTGCTAATTTATGTGCAACGAGAGGCACATTTATTATCCGTATTAAATGGGTATTGTCTGTATTTTGTATGTTTGTATCACTACTATAGAAATGTTCTTATTTATATCTCTATTATGCATGTAATTAAATTAATCGGAAATTTGTCAGACAGAGAACAAAAAGTATCTCGCACATTCGATACAATCATATGTTTATTTATCGGTGTAATCGAAGAGTATATGTCTAGTCTTTTATTGTACCGATAATAATTTTGGTACATTATATGTAGCGTAATAAGTTATTCGTTCTCCTTTCATAAAAACGTATGAGAAATGAGAAAAATCATACTGAAGTATGTACTTTTATAAAAGCGATGCATTTAATATACGAAATTACTTTAATTATATGTATCTAAATATTGTTTATTAAATGCTGAAAGAAAAATGTTTTTCTATGCGTGACGTACAAAACAAGGGATTTAAATTAACAGTTTTCTAAAAACGAATGCATATCGTGTTTGATTCTAGTAGAGTAAAAACGGGTGAAGATACATATATTAACGTGTATATTATTTATTATTACAAGATTTATAAAAAAAAAGGTAACATGAAATATTTCCAGCATTATTTGGGCAGTAAAACTTGATAGATTAGTGAGCGCATTTTCTTAGTTTTTGTATTTTTCATGTACAAAAAATCGCTGTTTGTATCTCGATTAATACAATAAAGGCACTTAAGGTCTAACACTTATCTACATTAAAGATTACGATACGACAATCACTTATTCGGTTTATTATTTACAATAGGCATACACATTACTTCAATTCTGGTTTGCGATTAAAATGAACTTGTGTTACCTCCGTACACAGAATAAATATTAATAGGAGTGTTTAATTAAATATTTCGGCGATTAATCAATAGATTAATCATTGGATCTTACGATACTTTTCTCATAATAAAAAATGTTTATTTAATTATATATTAATGTATGAATAATATTTTTTATATGTTTCTACATGATGTGCCGTAATCGTAATTGACAATTCGTTAGAATATTTAAGTTAAATTAGAAGTTTTGTTTTCTTAGTAAACAACGAAGCAAAGCGTATGAATACTGTTGTTCCTTCATTGTGCAGAATGTGGAATCTACAAAGAAGTCGAAGTGCAACCCCGTATTCTCGATTTTAGTAATTATCAATGTATAAACAAATTTTCTATACAAAATATATATGTATTTATACGTATGCGATGAAATATGTGAAATTACAAAATATTTTACGGTTTTCTATTTTCTTTTTCTCAAAAATGTGTCGAACTTATGTTCAACATATCAACATTTCAATGGTTGCATAGGTACCGAACATCTGATATGAACTTGCGTCTCGAACAATTTTTTTATACATACGGTCACTCAAGCCGATTTGAGGAAACGATGCATATGAAATCCCGAACGGTAAAAACACGCAACAAGGAAAAATAAGAAAATTTTTCAAATATTCAGTTAATTGTCATAACCACTAATGTGATGATAATAACAGGGTTATATTTTTGTTTCAATTATAATATGTAGCGACGATAAAGTTTTTCGAAGCTGATAAAAATTCAGTATTGAGCTTCCAAGATGGATTATTATTATTATTATCGGCGTGCTCTTTGTATTTAGTTTGTAACATTAGTGAAGTGTCACCTCATGTTATTCCTATTTAATATATATGCATTTTTACGATATGAAGCATAATTGTCCTGCTAAGTAATGATTGCAATTATTTATACTATTATTATATGCAAACGTGTAAAATAATTCGGGAGTTCGTCTATTAATTGCTAAATATTTAAAAATGCGATCCATTTCGCGGGTAAGATCATTTAAGGGGTTTATTCTGTAAAAATGTTATATATATTACATTTTTATATATACGTGTATGTATAAGAAAATTGTTCGAGATGTACGTTCATATCAGATGTTCGGTACCTGTGCAACCATTGAAATATTGATATGTTGAACATAAGTTCGACGCATTTTTGAGAAAAAGAAAATAAAAACCGTAAAGTATTTTGTAATTTTACATATTTTATCGCATACATATAAATACATATATATTTTATATAGAAAATTTGTATATACAATGATAATTACTAAAATCGAAAATACGGGGTTGCACTTCGACTTCTTTGTAGATTCCACACTCTTCACAATGAAGGAACAACAGTGTTCATACGCTTTGCATCGTTGTTTATCAAGAAAACAAAACTTCTAATTTAACTTAAATATTCTAAAGAATTGTCAATTACGATGACGGCACACCATGGCGAAACATGTTAAAAATGTTATTTGTACATTAATATATAATTAAATAAACAACATGTTTTAAACAACTGTATCAACCTTTTATAATTTCTTTGTATCATGTAAGCGCGATATGTCTCAGGTTATTTGACAAAATATAACAGGTAATTTATGAACAGGAAACCGGCTATACACTGTCGAGCAGGACGGAGATGAGATAAAAAGAGAATTTTACCTGCAAAAGTTTCAATTACACTCGCAGTCTTTTGTTTCCGTGAACATCTTTTATAATTTATCGGCCGATCTTATATTATTTAATAGAAAATATTTGAACGATTGTTTCATAACGCTATACATATCACTTTTATGTACAAAGATCTTAGATTTATTGCCATTGTTTGTATGTCAATACTATTATGTAAAAAGTAGCCTTTTTTCTTCATATAAAATACCGAACGAAAATGTCGAGTTCTACATCGTATAGAAATTACAAACAACACCAATGTGATCTACATCTTCAAATCTTGGTTTTGGCAACGATAAAATTTATGACTTGGGAGTGTATTCTGCAAGATTTTTGTTCTATAAGTTCTGTAGCTCTTTCTCTCTTACTCTATAGCGCTACACAGCTTATAGAGATACAGTATTACATTTTTACAGAATAAACCCCTTAAACGATCTTACCCGCGAAACGGATCGCATTTTTTAAATATTATTTAGTAATTGATAGACGAACTCCCGAATTATTTTACACGTTTGCATATAATAATAGTATAAATAATTACAATCTTACTTAGCAAGACAATTATACTTCAAATCGTAAAAGATGCATATATATTAAATAATAGGAATAACACGAGGTGACACTTCACTAATGTTACAAACAAAGAATATGCAGATAATAATAATAATAATCCATCTTGGAAGTTAAATAATACTGAATTTTTATCAGCTTCGAGAAACTTTATCGTTACTATATAATTGAAACAAAAATATAACTCTGTTATTCTCATCACATTAGTGGTTATGATAATTAACTGAATATTTGCAAAAATTTCTATTTTTCCTTGTTGCATGTTTTTACCGTTCGGGATTTCATGTGCATTCTTTTCTCAAATCGACTTAAGTGGTTTTCGCGTTCGGCCGTACAAATCTGAGAGCCGGTATACGCGACGCGGGCCTAGGAATTCCGCTTATCACAGCAGCTGGCTTGCTTCCGGCACTCCAATTGGTCGGCTGTCTCAACCGAGTCTTATTCTCAATTTTAGGCACTACTTGATTTGGACCCTGCAAGTCGATGGATTTATGTAATTGCCACACATATATTTGATATGTAATAATTTACTTCATATTCTTCCAAGTGTATGACTTGTATGACAATGAATAATGAATAAGTTTCATTAGCCATTATTGCGAAACGTCGAAATTTTGATCTCGTGATGCCGTAGCAAGTTTACACAAAGTTAATACATACCTCTGTCTTCTCACCCACTACAATCTCATCCTTGGTCTTCGCTATGTTACCTTCGGCACTTCCTTAAAAGGCAATGTATATTTTATTGATCGACTTAAAATTAAATTATTTATTATTATAGTTTAATTCCAGAACAAATGATTTAATTACCATCGTTGTTTAACGCATGACTAGACTCAGCGGGACTGATTATTGGAGAGCTGCATTTCATACTTGAGTTCACATTTAATAATCGTCTGTTAGCTTCGCAATGTTCTACACCGTTTTTCATAATCGGGGAAGGCAAATCCGTTCTCGCTTCGACCCACGTGTTCTCGAGAACTTGTCTGTCCGGTTTGGGCGCAGAGTCCTGCTTCAAACCTGAAGGTGCAAATTTTGAATTAACATGAAAGTATCAACGATATTTTTATATAATTTAGGATTATAAAATTTTACGATTAATTTTATGTTTTCTAAATAACAACGTACTCTCTTCCTGCATTCGCACTAGCTCGTGCAATTGCTCGGCATTCATCGTTCGCTTGTCGCACGAATTGGGACCACTGCTGTCGGAGCACGTGCTGAGTCTGTCACCCAGGTCGGGAGCGCTGTGAACGCTGTGGGTGCTCTCTATGCTCTCCGTCGAGCCGGCAATCGCGCCCGTTGGAAACTGATTATTCGTATTCACGTTGGCCTCGAGCAAACGCTGCTCGGAGCCGCTCTTCACCTTGCCATACAGATGCATCTTGTTCGGCAGTTGCGACTTCTCCGCGACGTTCTGCACGATATTGGGTTGTGAGCCCTTAATGTATCCTATACTAGACATGCGACCAACGGCCACGCCACCGGCGCCCCTCAGCGAGCCCGACACAAGATTGGGATTGGACTTTTGCAGGAACTGCGGCAACTTCGACAACGCCCTCGGTACGTTTCTCTTCGGCTGCGCCTTCGAGAGAACGGGCTTGCAAAACGTGCTATCCATGCTCGGACGCGCCTCGCTCGCGATATTGTCAGTTCTCTCGACGGGGTTGCTCTTCTTCGTGAAGGTATAAAATTTACGTTGGTCCACAGGCGATTCCTTTTGAGCGGTTACAGGCGTTTCGTTCTGGCTTGAACACTGATTGGCCGTAAATGCCGTCTTCTTGTACGTGTGGTATTTGTTGGTCGGAAAAACGTCGGTCTCATCCTTGCTGCAGGCCACGTGATTGTTCTTTCTCGTGTCTCTCACGCCGGGATGATCGCTAGGGATATGATTGTACGTGGAGTCCAGCTTACGCTCGCTGCTTCGATGAATCTCCGCTAAGAGTTCCCGCCTCAACGACGTGGGATACGCAGTTGGCTGCGGCTGATCCGGAGGCTGCGTGGCAAGTTTCGGCCTTGTACTAAGCATGTTTGGATTTATCGGCGTGGATTGGTTACGCATAGGCACCTTGAAAGATAAATCTAGGGCGTTCGTCTTCGCGTGTGCCTCGCGCGTGAGAAGTGCAACGGGTTTGATCTCGTCCGGCAGAATATTACACGTTACATTTAAGTCGACTTTATTTACACGCATTGTAGGCACGTACGTGTCGTTAACAATCGACACGGGCGAATTCGGTCTCTCGGCGCCTCTCGCTAAGCGCAGATATGTAGTACCCAGTGACGTAATGCCATTACTCGCTTTATTTGGCGATTGCACGAAGGTAGCATTAGCGTTAGGCTCGGCTACAAAAGTGGAAGACAAAACGGCTGTCTCTCTCCTGTTGAGATTCGATCTTGATGCTGAGGTTTCACCAGGAACTTCGTCATATATCGCATTCAAGCCTTTATTTAGTTGAAGAGATTCTTTGCAGGTGTTGCTTAGACTATTTGTGCGACACATGTCGTCAAGTGTAATCGTATTGTCCGCGTTTTGCATCACGAATGTCTCATTAATGTTAGCGGAGTTTGAGCTTTCTTCCACGTCGAGACTATTTTGAGCCATGCTTTTATTTGTCAGGGACATTGTGTCGTTTTTAATAAATATAGACTCGTTTGTGGACGCGATAACGGATGAACACAGAACAGGCGGCTGCGACACGTTCATCAAGAAATCGCTGAACTCAGGCTCGCCCAAATTTATAAATGAATCTATTCCTTTGGACTGCGACATGTTCAGAAAGGCTTCCATGCTTTCCTGCCCCGACATCGCCGAGCTTTCGTCGGACAAGATGGCCATAGCTGTTCCAGTGGATGGCTTCAGGATGGGTGGCACAAATTCATTACTTCCAATTGTTGCGGGTAAATATTTTTCCATCTAGATGATGACACAAAATTTTACACATTTTAGCGATATACTCCGAATCTTAATTAATAATTCATGACTGTTGTAAATTGTAAAACATTATTGTATAAGTAAGTGTATTTACTTCAATACAACTAGTGTCCATTTCCACTAATGATTAACTTAGATCTCGGTTTAAATTACTTTTTATCTTTTTCTAGTTTCAGGAATTGGAAAAAGATACAAACTGAGTCAAAATGGAATTAAAATTAATCTGCATTGGTAGAAATGTGTATAAAGCCTGTATCGGACCACGGATTGAGATTTGATTGAAATTTGACCAATTAGAGTAAAGGTCACTAAACTTGAGATTAATAAACTTTACTTTGATTGGTGAATTTTCAATCTAATCTCAATCTCAATCCGTAGTTTGATACAGGCTTAAGACATTCACTTCAGTCGATCCTAATCTGTCATTTCTAATATAAAACCAATGGCACAAGATACTATTTTTCCTACTGGATTGCTTACAAGAACCAAAAAGGACGCAAAGTTTTAGATCAGGTGACTTAAAGCTAACTCCTGATTGGCTCTCATAAGCAATCCAGTAGAAAAAAATAGTATTGTGTGCTGTTGGCTTTAGCGCCCATCTACAATGGTGATTTAAACTCTTAAGCCCGCTGCAGACGATGCTATTTTTCCTGCTGGATTGCTTGCAATTTACTAAACTACTAGGAATCCTGAGTGCTGAGTGGTGCAACGATAGTAATTTACTAAATCGCAAGCAATCCAGCAGGAAAAATAGCATCGTCTGCAGCGGGCTTAAGGCTTAAGAAATTGACTAATCACAGTCGCGTATTCTACTCATATTTGACCGTGATTGGTCAATTTCTTAAGGCTTAGAGAATAAATCATCTGTTGTAGACTGGGACTTAGCCTTAGGTCACCTGATCTAAAACTCTGCATTATTGGCTCTCGTAAGCGTTTCAGTGGGGAAAAATAGTACCGCGTGCAGTTCAATCCAGTAGGGAAAAATAGTATCGTGTGCTGTTGGCTTTAATTACAGAGGAAGATACGAGAGGGGACTCACATTTTCTATGTGCGTAACATTTATATCTTGCGTCCGTATATCCGTTGTAGAATGCGGTAGTCCTTCGAAAATCGATTCGAAGCTCATCCGAGCCGATCGTTTCTTGGGTCTTGTGAATGTTCTCGTGTCGATGCATTTCTTGTTACCTAGATACACACTAAATTTAGCGGCGATAGTAGGCAATACTCTGTACAATTATCGATCAAGCTGAGAAGATCAAGCGGAAAAAGTGCGATATTAGGAAGCTTTGTACTTTGAACATCCAATTCCGGTTCTGTCTTCAACCAGGCATGTAGATCCTGAATTGAAGACTCGGTTGGGCAGCGCACAGGCATGTACAACCTAAAAAAACGCAGAGTCAAAATCGTGTTAACTTATTAACTTTGAAGCAATACAAAAGGGAATACTGAACATTAATCACATTCGTACAAAGCATAAAAACGTTTAATCCGCCTTCGACGTTCCGATTATTCTCTGCTACGAACAGCGCGTGCTCTTGTCTTTAGAAGATATTTCAATTTCAATTACACAATTATCCCTTATATGTTACATATATGCTCGTTACATTCTCATTATGTTTATTCGTTTCCCAGGTGGAAGTAAAAATCGAGCGGGGGCGGAGGCGAAGGTAAACACAAAGCAGCCCACCGACGGGCGTGCGACACCCACCAATCGTCATTGTCGACGACCTCGAGCTGCAGGTCCAACAGGTCCGAGGGGTCAGCGAGGTCAGCCTGTCGCGACTCGTAACTGCCATCGTGAGTGCGTTCCGCGCGCGTGACAGTCTCGTTCGGATCCGTGGTGCCCGCTGACATATTTCGCGGCCGAGCGTTATCGAGTCGCGCGTATACGTGAACACATATTTCTCACCGTCCCCGGGGTACTTGGTCCCTGAAGCACGCGCGACACGAAAATAGCTTAGCCCGCTTAGCTGGGGGGGGGGGGGGGGGGGGGGGAGAGACAGGGAGATAAAGTGAGAGAACGAGCGAGAGAGACGGAGGGAGGGAGAGTAGATTTAACTCGCGACGAACAGGAACGATCGCGATGACTCTCGACGCGGACTGGGAGGGAAAAAAAATATGAACGCGACAACCTGGATCTCGCGTCCCGTCGCGAGAGACGCAAGGCTTGTTTTCGTTGCTGCACTGGTGAACTAGTGCAACACGTTAGAGTGAGACAAGTATATTTGTCTCATTCTAGCTTACTGCACTAGTTCACCAGTGGAGCAATAGAAAACAAGCCTACAACCGCGGCAAACAAGGATGCTACGCGAGACCCTACGTTATTTCGGTAGGTTTGATTTCTGTTTCCGCACCGGTGAACTAGTGCAATAAATTAAAGTAAAAGAAGTATATATTTCTCATTCTAGCTTACTGCACTAGTTCACCAGTGCAGGAACAGAAAACAAACCTAGGGTCTGTTCTTTATAGCTGAACCGGCTGCACTAGTTCAGTTATAAAAAAAGCAGACCCCCCCCCCCCCATTGGTGGGTGACGGGCCGGGTTTTTCGCGCATGCGCGGTGAAAACGGTAACAGTAAAGTACCTAATACATATGGTCGTAGTCGTAAGAATAATCGACTGCGATTGGTCAATTCTTAGGCTGGGTCTACATAGGATGTAGTAAGTCGTGTCGGAAGAAATTGACCAATCACAGTTCACTATTCTTCGATCGTAAGGAGAATAATGAACTGTGATTGGTCTATTTCTTCCGACACGACTTACGACATCCAATGTAGACCCAGCCTTATGCGACTGACTGAATTGACCAATCGCAGTCGATTATTCTTACGACTATGTACGACCATTGTAGACAGAACCGAGAATCATTGTAGCGGAGGCTTTAAAGCCTCGTCTACATAGAAGTTGTAAAGTCGTAGTCGTAAAGGCCAATGTCCACGATGCTAGAACTTGATCCAAGTTCTAGTTTCGAGAAACGTGTAGCCAATCAATTTGCATACCCTTATTTAAATTGTTGGAAAGTATTCATTCGACATTGCATTCGCGGTCTTTTTTATTTGATATTTGCGTATCGAAGGTGAAAGAATATCGAATAATCGATAGTATCGAATGTCGACAGACACCTCTATCGTCCGCGCGAACGCGTGGCGAGACGCAACGCACGCACGCGCTTCGACAACTGTCACTATCGCGGGTGGAGAAAGGGAAAAAGAAAAGTGGTGGAAAAACGAGAGGAACCCGCGAGTCGAAGGAGCCGGAGGTAGATAGACGGCGCGACGGCGCGGCGTGGCGCTGCTGGTCGCGGCAGGGGAACGGGAAAGGGAAAGGGAAACGTTGCGCTGCCGCTGCCGACGAAGGTGCCGCCGGACCGGACACGTACATGTATACGTGCGGCGCGGCGTAGCGTGTGTGTGCGGCTCTCCGGCTGGACGACAGCGAGCGAGCGAGAGCGAAAGAGAGAGAGAGGGATCTCGCCGGAAGATTTTCGTTATGTATCGATTTACTACGTAAATACGTGTTCTCCCTCGCGCGGCAAACGAAGCGGCAGATGGAGCACGCGGAATGAGAGGCTGCGGCACCGGTAGCGAGACAGGTAAGACGTCCCCGTCCTCACCCCGGCCTACCTCGCGCACGGCCGCCCGCCGCCGCGTTTCGTCGTCCCGTATCTTCGCCCCCGTCCCCGCCCCCGCCCCCTCGCCCCGCCGTATAGGTTAGAGGGCCGATCTTGTTCGCCGAAACGACGACGACGGTAATGACGACGTTGATTTCGCGAACGGCGCGAAATGATGTAACGAGACCTCGCGTGATTGCGTTATCTGCGCGCGTCCCCAGTCGCTCGCGTCGGATTCCGCGTGGCCTCGTCGTCGTCGACTCCGCCGCGCGTGCAACGACCACATGCTCGCGCCCGGGGCGCTGCTCCTCGGTAACCTGGGACCTGCGACCCTCCGTCGGGCTCGTCGCCTCCTTTCCCTCTCGCTGATGCAATTTTGCGACGTTAGATAATATCGCGCCGGGAACAGGGGGACGGTCTAGGGGCGAGGATCCGCGGCGTCTAATGTCTCCCTAATATTGTGCACAGCAAGAAGACATGGAAGCCGCGGTGATAGAAGTTCTACGACAGGCGGTCAGTCAGGACCCCAACGTCTTCAAGTCTGCGGAGGAAACGCTGAAGCAATGGGAGACTCAGCAAGGATTTTATATAGCGTTATATGTAAGTATCCTGCTCCAAAAACGAGTCTTCTTCATTTTACAGGTCTATGTTCGCTGGGTTTCCCATGTGCGTACTGGATGTATGGAACGTCACATGGGACGATGATACACTTGTACAGCAGATCTCTATTATTTTTTTCTTAGGATTGCCTTGCGTAGTGTTACACATTTTTTTAGCATCGATCTGAAACTTGTGAGTGATGCAAACGTTTTTTTTTTTAGAATGTTCTTTCAAATCATTCCTTGGCTATTGAAGTCAGATGGATGGCTGTAGTGTATCTGAAGATCGGGGTTGAGAGATACTGGAGGAAAAATGCGCCAAAGTAAGAAGCGCGTCGTGTTGTACACAAGTTAGATACTCTTGTACCGACAGCAGTTTGTTTAATAATGCATGCTGTTGTTTCAGCGCGATCGAAGACAATGAGAAGGAATTTCTGCGGCAGCACCTGCTCAGGAATTTCGAAGAACCTATGAATCCATTAGCTGTACAATTAGCAGTCGTTATTGCCAAGATAGCAAGGTAACGTATGCAACATAATGCATGTATTAAAACGCATGTGATCTCTTTATCCCGCAATTTATCTTACAGGTATGATTGCCCTAGAGAATGGGGTACACTGGTACCGACACTGTTGGAAGTTATAAGGCAGGAAAATCCCTTGGCGCAGCGTCGGGCGTTGTTGACGCTGCAGCATGTCGTTAAGGCTTTGGCATCTCGACGCTTAGCCGACGGACAGAGGCTCTTCCGAGAATTGACTGCGACCATGTTCAATTTTATTCTAAACCTATGGAACACTTACACCGAATCCTTCCTGATTATGGCGTCCAATGGGGCCGACGTCAATCAGACACAGGAAACCTTAGAAAAAGCACTTCTACTATTAAGAATACTTAGGCAACTGATCGTAAATGGTTTCTCCAAACCATCCGAATCTCAAGATGCCATGTTGTTTCTGAAAGTCGTTTTCGAGCGTGCAAGGGCCTGCCTTGAGTGCCGTTAGTATTCTCCGTTTAAGACGAACGTCTTTCAAGTGTCGTTTAAATTGAGTTTGATATGTGTTGCAGAAGTATCATATCGTACTGTTTCTTTTTTTTCCGTAGGAAAAACATTAGCCTCTAGAGGCGTGCAAGTGGATATGTGCGAGAAGTTTATAATACATTTGACCAAAGTTTTAATAGGAGTCTTAGAGATGCATCCGTTTTGCTACGTGGAACTCATACCGACTTCACTAGAGTTCTCCGTTTTTTACTGCTTCACAGAAGCTGGCCAAGCGTTAGCATTTGAAAGATTTATTATTCAGTGTCTAAATTTAGTAAAAACCATTTTATTATCGACGTATTACAGACCAGCTAAGGTTATTGAACGTACGTAGAGCTGTGTCATTTTCTTGCTTGTTCATGCGTTTTCCATATTAATGATCGTTCTTCCTTTATCGAAACAGAGACGAAAGATTCATTGGTTTTGAGGGCGTGTCAATTGAGGCAAGAGTTTTTCACACCGGAAACATTAACGGAGATTTGCTCCAGGCTCGTCACGCATTACTTCCTTTTGACACCTGCGGATCTTGAAATGTGGGATACTAACCCAGAAAATTTCGGTACGCGTGGAATTATATACTTCAAATCGTATTCAGAATAATATCACATGAGATGAAGATGTGATTAAGTTAAAACAGAACTGTATTTAACTAGTTTCTTAAGAACAGTTCTGTTAAGTATCTTAAATACAGAAAAAAATAGAATATTAGAAAGGTATTGCTTGTTTCAGCTATTGACGACGGCGGAGAATCGTGGAAATATAGTTTGAGGGTGAGTCAAAGATATTGTAGAAAAATTACTAAAATGTATAATTATTTTGTAAACGTGTCGTAATGCGAGTGTATGTTGCATTGCAGCCTTGCACAGAATCCTTATTTTTGGCGATCTTCCATCACTTTAGAGATGTTCTCGCTTCGGTTCTGGTTGATTTGATGCGACAGCATCACCAACCTGTCGATCCCAACAACCTGCACGCAATTCTAGTGAAGGACGCGGTTTATCGCGCGGTTGGATTGGCCGCATTCGATTTGTATGACGAAGTAAGAGAATAGAATTTAAAAAATTTTATATAAACGGTTGATTGATTTAATTATTGTGTATTTATGCGACAGGTGAACTTCGACCAGTGGTTTTCGACGACTCTAAAAGAGGAATTAAAGGTCCGAAATAACAATTATAGGATTATCAGAAGACGTGTGTGTTGGCTGATTGGTCAATGGACGAGTACGTTAAAGATTTTACCGAAAATATACTCGATTGTTCACTGTTTGTTACTTGCGAATTTTACTTTTTGCAGATATTAAATTAAGTGCGGAATTGAGGCCGGAATTGTACAAGCTCTTGGTAGAAACACTAAATCCCGAGGAGGATTTGGGGGTTCGTTTAGCAGTGAGCAACGCCTTGAAACGAGCGATCGATGATTTTCAGTTTAATTCGGAGGAGTTTATTCCTTTCCTAGAGCCAATCTTCTCTCTACTTTTCGCACTTCTTAAGGAAGTAAACGAATGCGATACAAAGGTACGCGCAAAGAACTAGCATTTATCTCTTCTTAATATTTTCAAGTTATTTCTCACAAATTTTTCGATCTTTCAGATGCATGTGCTGTATGTGCTATCTTTCATCATCGAACGTGTCGGCAGTCTAATCAAGCCGCATGTCGGTGCATTCAGCTCCTATCTACCTGAACTTTGGCAGCAATCAGAGGTGTACAATATGCTGAGGTGCGCCATAGTATCGACTCTGATACACTTGGAGAAGGTGCGACTTATACTACACCAAATGGTGGATCTAATTGATGGATAAAATCTTTTTTAATTTTTCATGTTTTTTTTCTATCGTTGTATTGACAGGCTCTAGGTTCTGAGAGCGTTCTTCTGGAGCCATTAGTAGTAAACGTCGTAGCTCTGAGTGTCGATGTCAATCAAGAGGGGCACGTTTATTTATTAGAAGATGGATTGGAATTGTGGATAGCTTTATTGGAAAACACGCCTACACCGACTCCAGCCATAATGGATCTCTTTAGAAACATACCAGCGTTATTGGGTTAGTGATACTGGGCTGTTAATGATTGCTAACAGATCTTGATGATTTGTGATGACGTAAGCTCTTTCCTCTGTCTTCAGATCAATCGTCGGAGAATCTGCGTTTATGTTTGTATGTAATTCAAGTGTACATATTGCTGAGTCCGCAAGATTTCTTTACTCAGAGGGGATCGGTGGTCATCGAGTCGTTGAAATCGTTGCTCAGTGATCTGCGGTCCGAGGGTAAAGTGATGGTGCTCAGATTATTCGAGATTTGCCTCAGAGCTTCTCCTCAACAGGGTGCGGAACTGATAAAGACTGTTTTGCTAAAGATATTCGAGTAAGTAAATGTTTTTGCTAAAAATATCTTTGTGTCGCACGAGTATTTACAACGCAATGTGATTTGTTTAACAGGGGAGTTTACAACGGTGAAGAATACCCGTTGGTCATGACCATGAATCTGTCTATCGTCGCGAGAGTTTTACTAGGTTCCCGTGATATGTTTGTACAGGTAAGAAAACTTTTATCTCGATCACGATTTTCCCCCACAAGCTCGTCCAGTAATGAAGAATATTGTCGTAGATAATCAGCGATCTAACGCAGAGTATAGGAACTGAAACCAGAGACGTTGTACTCGGAAAACTAGTGCACAGCTGGGTCAACGCAATGCCACAGGTGTCTCAGACTGAAAGGCGCAAATTACTAGCCCTTGCGCTCTGTTCTTTCCTCGGGGCGAACAGTCCGCCCACGGTTCTCGAGCATTTCCCACAGATAATTTCGAACATCGTCGAGACGCTCAACGATATTACGAAGTTTGACGATATGGGCTATCCTGTTGAGTAAGATTTGAAATTTTATTTTTCTACGCATGTCGGGATAAAGACGAGTCGAATGGGATAATGCGAGAGTCTTGTCTCAATCTTGTAATATTTATTAACAAATATTTTGTAATAGGAATCTTTTACAATTATTCGTCATTGAAAAATATTCCAATGTTACATTAATTCGGGGTGTCCTAATTACTTCCATTGTTCATGTAAGGCTGAAAGAAAGTCAAGTAGTGTACTCTGTAAAATGTGCAACAGAATGAAAATTGTTCTAGTTCCTTAATGATTACCGATCAGCCTAGTCCTTCGCAGTATGAGGATGTGGATTATGAAACCGAACACGCTCAACGCCAGAAGAGACTCGTCTTCAGTGATCCTGTGCACAGTATATCTTTGAAGGATACGCTTCAAAGTCAGGTGAGAATCTCTCACGAGTATATTCTGGATTTTTGGGACAGTCGTCCAGGGACTCTAAAGTCTTTTTCCGAAATTCTCAGTTGGTTACGCTGCGAGGTATAGTTGGCGACCATCAATTTGACCAATTGATGCTTACTCTCAACCCCGACATCGACGAACAACTCAAGGACTACATATCGCTGTGAGGGGAAAAACAAGATCAAAACCACGATGCAGGATGTTTCGTCAAATGCTACATAAACGTATGAAGCTTTACGGCGTTCTACTGTAAAACGGTACTATTTTATTGTATAATACCATCTGTTTCATTGTATTAATAATGATAATAAAAGTAATCTTGGCCTTGTTTGTTTCCGAAGCTTATAATCTCTGACTCCTCGAGATAGCGACAGTGATGCATCTTTTCACTTAAGTGCGCGCGATTTGCAGGCTCGTGAATTAAGATTAAAGCTTCACAAACAATTGCATCGATAAAGGAGAACAGAAAGGATGCACGTAAAAATTACTTGAAAAACAAAAACTGAGGAACACAATATGAGTTTGGTAGTAGATTCCTTTTACTGTATTGACCTCTTTCATGTGTTTGTTTAAAAAAGCTTTTAAACAATTCGATTTTACGTTACAGCGAGGTTCCGTTAATTAAATTTCGACAAAACTGCCCCTTTCTATTCTCACCGATTCAATCGTTTTACCATTCAATCATTCATCGTCAAGTTTATTTTTAACTGTCCGATGACATTATTGTATTTTTTTTTAATTCGGGACCTGTCGACATTGTATAGAAAAAAACTTTTTTGTTCTTGACAAGGTACGTATAATTTGTTACAGACTGACACGTCACGGTAAGTCAACATTTCATTCTTCCCAGTAAACACCGTGCATCAGTTATTACATTGCGTTTATGTTACAATTGGATTACGTTCCGCGGTGTCTTTCGCAAAAAATTGCGCAAATCGAACGTCCGTCGATACCTCGATACCTCGACCAGTCGATTTCCTCGCGTATCGATGTCCCCACTCCGCGGCCATGCGCGACCCCCGATCGGTTTTATTCTCCCCCGCCCTGCGGGATGACTCATTGCCGCGCCGGACGCGACTCTCGCGCTGTCTGGCGGTGGTGCGCGTAGTCGCGAACAGCTGTCGTCCGTGTGGGCCGTGTGTCAAATCTTGGCAGGGGGTTAGCCGCGAGGAGCCGCCGTCGGGGCCTGCTGCGGTACCCGGGGGGCCTGGTTTGCCGAGCCGTCCAGCGGAAGTTTCTCCCCGCGGTAAGTGAAACCGACGCGCCACGTCGCGTAACTCGCCCGTCGTCGTCGTCGTCGTCGTCGTCGTCGTCGCCCGAGCCGGGGGGGGCGACGTGTGCAGCGAGCGCGGCGCGTAACGAAGCCGCGTACGAGCAGCCTTGCTCCGATTACGTGTGCACGACGCTCGGCTCGGCGCGCGCTCGATCGATTCGCGCTCGGACGACGCGCACTCCCGCGAACCTGGAGCACCTGTCACCGCGCCCGGTCACCGGGGCGACGACATTCGGATAGGCAGGCTGCCGTCCGCCGACCGGCGTCTGACATTTCGCGTCCGCCGGTTCGCCGCGGCGCGGGGCGGCCCCGGCGGATTTTTGAATCATCACTGAATGAGCGTGGGCGTGTCACGTGACCGATCGTAGCGTGCCTGTAGTCTACCCTCGCGCCCACATTCCGGGGGGAGAGAGAGAGAGAGAGAGAGAGAGAGACCATTGATGACTCCCCTCGACATCCGACAGGCTGTGCCTGGCAGCTGCGAGCCTGTAATCGGAGTCGGAGGGAGATCCGGCTCTCCGATACTCGCTCTCCCTTCCTCTCCAGCCTAGATTACACCTCTGTCTACGGAGATCGACGATAGACCGCGATGGACGAGCACGCTCGATCGCGCTGGCCGTAACTCGAATCTTGTAACACGTCCGAGTTAATGCCTGGGACTCGTGATTTCTTCCGTCTACCCGGATAGCGCGGGGAAATTCTTTTTCAATTCCCGAGCGGGTGCAACGAATTCCCTTTCCGCCCCGTTTTCTGTCCCGAAAACGTTCCCGGGGGTTGAAAAGGGAACCCGCTTTTCTGCTACTGACCGATTCTGACCTCTTCTTTTCGGTTGTTTAGAGATAATCTTCGTGTGCGGGGGATAACGTCAATTTACCTCCGCGAGAAGTCGGAAGGTAACGCTTCCGTGGGGATCCTTTTTCACCTGCCGGAAGAGAACGTTTTGAGTTTAGTTTGGACAGCTTGCTCCGTTACGTGAAAGATTGAGTCCTCTTTGAATTCGCAGCGACCACCTGTGTGTTAATTGGGCAACGCGTTCGCGTATTATGCACAGACTGCAGAGGCTCGGTGAAGAGATAAAGCTCTCGCGTGATTTTTCAACGTCGACAATTAAATTCGCGAAATCTTGATATTCCGGCATCGAGAGGCAATCATTCGCCCTGCAGCCCGAATTATGATACGTTGAACAGCGGCGGACGCGCAGTCGACGATTCCCATCGACCGTTGGTCGATTTTAATAGGCAATTAGCGATCTGTAATCATCTGTAATTAGCATCCAAATCGGAGCGTCCCCGTTTTTGTTTCCTTGTTTTTTTTTTCGCGTGCCGCGCGGAAGATCGATACGCGGCTTCCGCTCGCCGATCGATACCCGGCTCTCGCGTCGCTTAATATACGGGGCTTAATGACAAATAAATTTAATATTCGCCGCAGGTTCGAACGGCGAGGGGCCGCTGCGGCACCGCCGGGCGGCGGAAAGAGGAGAAAAAAAATACGCTCCCGCGCGTTCGCGATTCTCCGCTTCGATTCCCTTTTCATTGCCATCCCGGCGCATCCGCTTTGACCTCCGACTTTATCCGCGTATCGTCGTCGCGTCCGCAGAGCTGCCCGGCCGCAAGCTGCGCGATCGCGAAAATTCAGGGATGAAACTTGCGCTTGACCCCCCCCCCCCCCGGTCGAGCGGGTGCTCTCGCCGTGGAATAAAGGAGGCGTTCCCTCGCCGGGCTAGCAGGCAGTGAGAAATTTCGTCGAGTTGCACCGGCAAGTGAATTACTTGCCGAGCTGCGCGGCGTCTAAACTCCGCCTGTACGCAAATTCGAGCGAATGAGTTTGAATAATAGGGGATTCGTTGAATTAAGGTGGCGAAATGGAGAAGAATCGACACAGGGATCTGCCCCCGCGACTTTTCCAGGGAGAACGGACGACTCAAAGGGAGATTAATGCGAATTGCGTCGGGGAAATTCCGAGTGACCAACCGCCGCGGTTGGCGACAGGGGACTCCTCGTCCCTCCTGCGGTCTCTTTTGTTTCTGTGTATTTAATTTTCGCGGTAAATATTATATCAGCAGCTGTCGATGAATTATAGCCGATGAGTTTTATTATTGCGCTTAGCGATACACGCGCGCGCGCGCGCGATAAGATAATGGTAATTCAGAAAGGAAGATTTCGCGGCGAAAATCTGAGGAAATGGAATATATTAAAGATATATTAAATATGGTGGGGGAGAAAAAGCGCAGTTTAGAGGCACGCGCTGTTGAAGAAAAATGGATGAAAATCCACATTTCATTTCTACGCGGGTAAAAGTCTCGTTAACACTTTATTGTATGTAACGAGCAGCTGCCGTATGCAACGAACAAGCCGTTCGGTGTAACGAGATATGATTGTGGATCACAGTGTCTACATCAATATGTACGCAATTCAGCGTAATGAAATGTCGGCGTTAATTAATATTTCGATGCCAGATTCGATGTGTAACGAGTGGGTAGAGTTTAACGTAACGCGATTTTACCAACCCCTCGGCGACGGTCCCCGTATACATTCTCGTCAAATAAATACTGGAGATTATTCAACAAAACACAAAATATTGATTTAATCATCCAAATTTATGTTGTCGCCTTCAAAATAGGCCCCACTTGAAGCGATACACTTGTGCCAACGAATAATCCAGTCGTTGAAACACTTCTTATAGGCACTTTCCGGTACGGCCTTCAGCTCCTTCTGCGAATTTTGTTTTATGGCTCCAATGGACCCAAAACGTCTTCCACGAAGTGGTAATTTGAGTTTCGGGAACAAGAAAAAGTCACACGGGGCCGTATCTGGCGAATACGGTGCTTGCTCGATGACATTCGTTGAGTTTTTGGTCAAAAATTCGCGTACAAGGATCGATGTGTGGGACGGCGCATTATCGTGGTGCAAAATCCAAGAATTGTTCTTCCACAAACCTGGCCTTTTCCGGCGAACATTCTCTCTCAAACGCCTCATAACGCCCAGATAATATTGTTTGTTAACTGTTTGACGATTTTCCATCACCATTTCCTTCACCTTGTCGATGTTTTCGTCAGTCGAAGACGTTGAAGATCGACCGGAACGAGGCAAGTCTTCAACCACTTCTCGGCCTTCTTTGAATGTTTTGTACCACTCGTATGCCCGTGTTTTCGACAAAGCTGACTCACCGCAGGCCTTCTTCAATATTTTCAACGATTCAGCACAAGATATTTCGTTGGCGACACAAAATTTGAGGCAAACTCTTTGTTCGATACTTTTATCCATTTTAAAAATCGCGGAACATACTTGAGGTCGACTAACAAAACCAACAGCTACAAACTGATTGACAGACGGCGTCAAAACTTTACGTGACAATTAGGTACATTGGTAACAATTTACAGCAAATAATTCTTTTTCATGCCTTTTACGCGGGATTTTTAAATGAACAATTCCCGGTATTTATTTGACAGAATGTATTTCTTCCCCGTCCTGAATTTTCCATGGATATCCTTATTTATATTTTAGCGCGTCCTTTTAAAGTTTCCATGGAGATTGTGGGGGTACGTCGTGCGGAAAGTGATAATCTTTATGAAATGTCGTAAATAATGCACGGCGGGTAAAACTGCGCGGGACACGTGGCCCGAACACACGAAAAGATTTAAGCAGTAAAACTTAACCCAGAGAACATGCATGTCTAAAAGACATCTTTAAGACGTCTTTTAGACATAGGACGTCTAATAGGCGTCTTAAAGATGTCTTTTAGACATGCAGGTTCTCTGGGAAGACTTAAGAATTTCAACCAATCGGAATTCTCAGCATTGCTTAAGTCTCAAAATGGCTGCTTACGTTGCTTACGATACTGCTGGAGTGAGTTTGCACTTTTGCACTTTTTTAACCTAAAAACTGTCAGTTCGCGGAAACATTTGTGTAATATACAAATTAAATGGTTTACGTGTACAGATCGAAAGCAGCTTGCTATTCCGGTTAAATTAAAGAACAACATGGCGCACCACTAAGTAATAATAGTGAGCAATATAAATATATATTACATGTACTGTATGTTGCTATTATTTTTTATTAGACTTACAATTAGTTTCAGTGGTGCCATGGTGTTCTTTAATTTAGCCGGAATAGCAAGCTGCTTTCGATCCGTACGCGTAAACCATTTAATTTGTATATTAGACAAATGTTTCCACGAAACAGACAGTTTTAAGTGCAAAAGGTGCAAACTCACTCCAGCATCTCCTTACGTCACGGGGTATCAAACGGCGTGTCCGAAAACGCGGTGCGGTGATCGCGCGGGAAAATCTCGCCGAGATAATTTCGCGATATCGGCGGGTACGTCGATTATCGCCGATCTCGCAAGGAATGATTTCACCGCGCGACGGATTAGGATCGCGAACGAAAATAAACTACGTGCCGTCGAATGCGCGCCGCGAGCGTTTTAACGTGTTAATTTAACGCGTCGACGGCCCAGACGGCGCTGCTCAAGTGTATCCTACAATTGACAGTGCTGTTTAAAACGCCACGGCGAATTGAATTAGCGCGCGATATCGCAGCGAGAATTGTATCGCGACAATTTATCCGAATTAGGCGAGACAATGCGAGCGTATCAGCCGTGATTTATTTACTTTCGGCGCAAGACAAACAACGTCATTATGAACATGACAGAGATGTCGGCGTGACAAGTAAACGTTAATTCTTTCGCGCTATCGTAGTAATTAATCTTGGCGTAAAATCGATACTAGGATGCACGTAATCGACTCTTATCGATTTGACAGAGCGCGAAAATGAGCCGGAATATTTATTGCTAACATTCGCGAAAATACGACGTTGTCCCACGTGAATAATGAGTATCGCGGTTGTATTAATGTAATTCGATGATTGGCCTGGAAACGGTGCATTTTTTTACCCGTCATTACGCTTCGATCATTCTCTTAATTAATTAAGTTCTTAATTTTTAACACGGGAATCAATTCGTTTTAACGATGCGTC